CATCTATTGTTTATTGATATCTAGAGTAGACTTTAATTATCAAATAATTTATGATATCTCATAGCAACTTATTCGTGCATGGCCATGCATTTCTAGTCTCACTCAATCCAGTGACCTGTGATATATTTCTTATTATGTAGGAAGGACAAATCTTATCTTAATCATATACACCCACTACATATATTGAGATATATTCAATAACAATCTTTATAGAGCAACCAATTATGGAGCTTGTTTAACTGCATCAAAATATACAACAATATATGTTGGGATAATATTAATCTCAAGTCTGAGGATCATACATATAGTCATCACCATGAGCAATGTTATGACTGTCACATAATAATCCAAGACATATGCTCATGGTTGGTCACTCTAATACATTATTCTCTAACAATATAATCATGTATCAATTCTGACGTCTCTATGTCAATGACAACTCGTTGTCATCAATCAAAAACATGTTAGTCTTAAGTGTATTATTATTGTCCATGACCATAATAATACTTGACTAGGGATCTTTTAATAATAACAATAATATTATTATATGAACTTTATTATCTTCTAGTTTATGTTAAACACATATGTATAACTAAAAATAATAGCGGTAATGCATTTATTCAATAAAATCGGTAAATAAATGTATTATTACAATCATCATATGAATGGTCTTTGGGCATTCTCTAACAATCTCCCACTAGCACTAAGAACAATAACTCACATATATAATACCGAGTGACTCAGTGTGACGATCATGCCTCTGCTGTGTAAGAGGCTTCGTCAAGTGATCAACAATATTGTCATCTGTGTGTACTCTGCATATTTCCACATCTCATCGATCTATGATCTATCGAATGAGATGAAAGCGCCTAAGAATATGTTTGGATCGTTGATGAGATCTGGGTTCCTTTACTTGTGCAATGGCTCCATTATTGTCACAACGAAGTTCTACAGGATCTGATATGCTGAGAACAACCCCTAATTCCGATATGAACTTCTTGATCCAAACAACCTCTTTTGTTACTTCACTGGCTACAATGTATTCAGCCTCTGTTGTAGAATCAGCTATTGTGTCTTGCTTTGAACTTTTCCAGCTCACAGCACCAACACAAAACCCGATTGCGATCGCGAGTCATCCTTGTCAGTTTGGATGCTGGCATCAATATAACCTTTTACACTAAGCTCTTCCTCTCCACCATAGACAAGAAATTTATCCTTAGTTATTCTTAAATACTTAAGGATATTTTTAACCGCAACCCAGTGATTTTCACCAGGGTTTGCTTGATACCGACTCATCATGCTTAAAGCATACGATACATCTGGTTGAGTACATATCATGGCATACATGATAGAACCAATAGTCGAAGTATATGGAATATTATTCATCCATTCTCTTTCTTATGGAGTTGAAGGACACATTTCCTTCGAAAGATAAATGTCATGTCTCATAGGCAAAAATCCTTTCTTTGATTCTTCTATACTGAACCTTTTCAAAACTTTGTCTATATATGTTATATGTACTTTGACTCATACCTAGAAGTCGTCATTATCTATCTCTATAGATCTTAACTCCTAAGATACACGTTACTTCACCCAAATCTTTCATAGAAAAATAACTACCTAACCAAGTCTTAACAGATTGTAAAGTAGGTATATCATTTCCTATGAAGAGTATGTCATTTACATACAAGTTTAGGAAAGAAACAATGCTCCTTATAAACACAAGGCTCATCGTCATTTCTAATAAAACCAAATTCTTTGATTGCATCATTGAAATGAAGATTCCAGCTTCGATAAGCTTGCTTTAGTCTATAAATAGACCTCTTTAGCTTACAAACCTTTGTAGCATTTCCTTAAGCGACTAAACCTTCTGGTTGTGTCATATACACATCCTCTTCAAGTTTTCCATTAAGGAAAGTGGTTTTGACGTCCATTTTCCATATTTCATAATCATGGAATGCAGTTATTGCGAGCAAGATCTGGATGGACTTAAACATAGCTACAAGGGAGAATGTTTCGTCATAGTCTACACCATAAACTTGTTGAAAACCTTTAGCGACTAATCGCCCCTTGTATATTTGTACATTACCATCGATGTCAGTTTTCTTCTTGAAAACCCATTTACACCCTTTAGGTTTAACCCCTTCATGTAGTTCAACCAAAGTCTACACTTGGTTTACTGACATGGAATCCATCTCAGATCTCATGGCTTTAAGCCATTTCTCATAGTCTGGGCTATACACTGCCTCTTGATAAGTCCTAGGCTCATCTTGATCCATAAGAAGAACATCTCTAAAGCAGTAACGAGAAATCCAAATCTCTTAGGTGCACGACGTTCTCTTGTAGATTTGCGCAGTGGTTGTGTTTCTAAATCTGTTAATTGTTTCTTAACAACTTGTGAAACATGCTCAACTTCAAGTTCATTGATTTGTTGTTCTTGAACTTCTCCAAGTTCAATATTTCTACCCTTACCTTTCTTTGAGATAAATTCTCTTTCGAGAAAAACTTTTATTCGAGTAACAAACACTTTGTTCTCATTAAGGTTGAAGAAATAGTATCCCTTGATTTCTTTAGGATATCCAACAAATATACACTTATGAGATTTAGGTTTGAGCTTTGTAGACATATTATGTTTTATATAAGCTTCACAACCCTAAATCTTCATAAAAGACATACTAGGATGCTTCCTAGTCCATATCTCATATGGTGTCTTTTGAACCGATTTAGATGAAACACGATTTAGTGTGAAAGCGGCTGTTTCAAGTGCATGTCCCCAAAAAAAGTCAAAATATCACTATGACTCATCATCGATCGAACCATGTCTAATAATGTTCGATTCCTTCTTTTAGAAACTCCATTCCACTATGGTGTACCAGGTGGTGTAAGCTGTGAGACAATCCCATATTTTTTCAAGAGTTCATCAAACTCTATGTTTAAATATTCTCCACCTCGATCTGATCGAAGTGCCTTAATGTTCTTGCCTAGTTGATTTTGTACTTCATTTTTAAACTTCTTAACCTTTTCAAGGGCTTTAGATTTATGGCACATAAGATAAATATACCCATACCGACTGAAGTCATCGGTGAAAGTAATGAAGAAATAGAATCCACCTCTGGCTTGTATATTCATCGGTCCACATATATCACCATATATTAACCCTAATAAATCACTTGCTCACTCAATTTTACTATTAAAAGGAGCTTTAGTCATTTTTTCCCAACAAGAAAGATTCACATACATCATATTGTTTAAAAACAAATGAATCTATGAATCCATCTTTATGGAGTTTTGATATGTGTTTCTCACTTATATGACCTAAACGATAATACCAAAGATAAGTTTGATTTGAGTCATTTATTTTTGATCTTTTAGTATTTATGTTATAAATGGTATTTTCTTGATCCAAAATATATAGACCATTAACCAATTGTGTCGTACCATAAAAAATTATCGAGAAAAAAAGAATAACAATTATTCTTAATAATAATCTCAAAATCAATCTTGTCCAAACAAGAAATAGAAATAATGTTCTTAGTCAAACTAGGCACAAAATAACAATCTTCTAAATTTAAATCAAGTCCACTAGGCAAAGATGAAACATATGTCCATATAGCTAATGCATCAACTCTTGTTCCATTTCCCACTCGTAGGTCTACGTCACCATTAGCCAGATTCCTTCTCTTTTGCAGTCATTGTACAAAAGTACATATATGAGAACCACAACTGATACCTAATACCCAAGAAGTATATGTTGACAAATTAACATCAATAACATAAATACCTAAAACAAACGTTCCGTTTGCTTTTGCCTTTTTGACCTCTTCGAGGTAAACATGCAATTTCTCTTCCAGTGTCCTATCTTATCGTAATGGAAACATTTTCCTTCCTTGCTAACTCCCCCTTTGGGTTTTAATGCATTTTTCCCTTTCAGTTTGGCCTTACCATTGCCCTTAGACTTTATCGCTACCTTTTTCTTTCCATTTCCTTTGTCCTTGTGGACTATCATAATGGGCTTAGGTCCAACCTTTTTCATGTTACTTTCAGCAGTTCGTAACATGCCAAGTAATTGTGGCAAAGTCTTGTTAATTTTATTCATATTGAAATTAAGGACAAATTGGCTAAAGTTATCTGGCAACGATTGCATGATAACATTGATAGCCAATTTATCTTTGAGAGGAAATCCTAACTTTTCCAACGTTTGGATGTAGCCCATCATCTTGATGACATGAGCTCCTACAGGAGTTCCCTCTGCCATTTTACATTGAAATAGATCTTTAGAGGTCTCACATCTCTCTTGACGTGCTTACCCTTCATATATTTCTTTGAGATTTTGAATCATCTCATATGCAACCATGACTCCTGAGCTTCATACCATGTCCTCATGTTGCTTCTGAAGCTCAGGAGTCATGGTGGCAAGTCTTAGACATCCAACGTCTAACATATCATCCATATGTTTCTTGAATTTGTCTTTGTCAGTTCTTGAAGCATTAGTTTCTAGTTCATCAGGAACAGGTTCTTCAATGACATATTCATTCCTTTTCTATTTGAGAACAAATCTCAAATTACGAAACCAATCAAGGAAGTTTATGACATTAAGCTTCTCCTTCTCAAGGAGTGATCACAATGATAAAGTGTTGTTTGCCATTAAATCTACAACAATGGAAATATTAAAGTAAGTAAATTTATCGAATTTAAAATTTATAAATAGGTCTTTATTTACAAATTACTCCCGCTATTTTATTCAAAATTAAAAACACTCTTTGTTTTAATTTCGGAAAAATTCAACGAAAATTTTTCTAGTGGGTGAGGATCCATAATACATTAATTTCCTAAATCAACTTTGGCTTTTCTTTTAGGATAGTGATTATTTAGGTAAGTAACACTTTACTAGTTACATCTCATGTAACTCCTCCTTTTGGTGAACAACTCTTATTCAAGTCATCTCATGACTTATCCAAATACTTAATCTCTAGGTTTCTAATCCTATGAGAATAATCTAGCTAAGTTAATACCAATATCTCAACTGGTGAATATCACTTGCTTATTCTTCACGTTTAACCAAGATAGATTTATGTGCCAATGCTTTGGCAAAGCCCGCACAATATCAATTGAAGCCTTAATGAGGGTAAATATTGGACAGTTAAGTTAACTTAGATTATAAAGAGGGATTTGCGTAATTATCTCATCATTGTTCGCTTTAATATTAGGCCCTTATTGATCTCATCAATATTCATTCTTATTTTATCATTTGATGCATTGCATACATAACATATATAACAATAAATAAGATGCAATGGTTATAGCCCAAAAAAATGATTAAGGTGACCCATCTCAAGCCAATGAGAGAACCAAAAAACCCTAAAACCTAAGACTGCTCTCTAGGTATCTTTTTGTCTTTAGTTCAATCCATTCTTCTGCTCCTTGTGAATATTCATAGGATTACAATTTTAAAAGAAACCCGTTTTACATACGAGGGAGTAAGATGAGAAGAGAAATACAACTGAGATATAGAAAGGCACGGCTCGCAGGCCCTATTTCAAATTCAATAATTCTAAATTGAACAAGGGCTATAACCATACTTGTCAAACACCGTGCAAAACAAACATATCATATATATACACGTTGTTACGCCTTTGTTAAAAAATATTAATATGGGCCTACAATATGTATTGTTGATGAAGGAGCAAGGGGCAGAGCACTTAGCGCGCATCGAGTGCCGGTGGGATTTTTTTTTTTGAAAAATAGTATTTCCGTTTCTATAGAAAAACCTCACGATTTGATAACACTTACCAACATAATTGTGTTTTTGGGATTTTCAATCCCGAAGGTTTTCTACATCGGAATAACCATTGTTTGACTATCAAACACGATCTGTTATCACACACCCACGGATCATCATGTCAACAATTGACATATGGATTTCGTAAAATCCTTACAACAATGCATAGATTGTAAAAATAGATTAACAAATTAACATATTAATCATTGCAATTATTTAATCGAACAATGATATCATGCATATTTTCCATAAACGAATTTAACACGAATTTGGATGGTACAAGTGGCTCTGATACCACTGTTGGGACCGTCGGCTCACCCCATGGCGCAATAAAAATAAAAAATTTGACGGTCTCATCAGCGATACAAGTACGATAAACCAAAATTGGGAGGAATGAATATGAATACTTACAACGGATTCCTTGAAAAATAGCAAGGATAACAGCGTCGATCGGTTCGAATCGTAAGCCTCCATGAAATCACGTCTCGACCTCTACTCAGTTCACCTGATTAAGAGCAATATTTGTTTTTTCCCAAAACTGTTTTGAGAAAAACGGCTGAAGATAAGGCGTGTGTTAAAAAAAAGGCTGCTAGACCTTACACCTCCTTTTATATCCAAGTTACCCTAACATATTAGGGATTTTATTATTTCAAATTAATTAAATCTTTATTTAATTAATTTAAATTAAATATTGGGATTATTAAAACATATGTATATCAAACATACATATATTAACTCTAGATATATTTTAGTAACGTACAACAAATTGTACATCTTTGCTCGTTTCAATCATAGGGTGTGGCCCTGTAGGTTCTTGTAACATTAGCAGTAATTATTAGAACAATTCTAATATTACATACAATGAGTGAGATCTAGCAATATATCATTGTCACCTAAGTTACAAGAAAATATGATTCGGCATATCATCTTTGTGATTAACTCTTTTATATATTACATCCTTATGTCCTTTATATCTAGAATAGGCACAAGTCTTGGAATAGTCACACTTGTATAGCCCATATATTACATATCAAGTGGCCTATGATATATTTCCTATTATGAATGACAAATCATATCTTAATCATACATACCCACTACATATATTGAGATATATTCAATAACAGTCTTTATATAGCAATCAGTTACGGAGCTTGTTTAACTGCATCAAAATATATAACAATATATGTTGGGATAGTATTAATCTCAAGTCTGAGGATTATACATATAGTCATCACCATGAGCAATGTTATGACTGTCACATAATAATCCAAGACATATGCTTATGGCAGGTCAATCCAATACATTGTTCTCTAACAATATAATCATGTATCAATTCTGACATCTCTATGTCAATGACAACTCGTTGTCATCAATTAATAACATGTTAGTCTTAAGCGTATTATTATTGTCCACGCCCATAATAATACTTGACTATGGATCTTTTAATAATAACAATAATGTTATTATATGGACTTTATTATCTTCCAGTTTATGTTAAACACATATATATAACTGAAAATAATAACATCAATGCCTTTATTCAATAAAATCGGTAAATAAATGTATTATTATAATCATCATATGATTGGTCTTTAGGCATACTCTAACATTATTTGATAATGGATCTACCCATTCCTACGTGTCACATTCCATTTCTCGGAGCCTTAGTACTCGATTGAGAATACTGAGAGTTCGGTGACAGTTTAGAGTCCGTAGGTCAGTCCATACAGTTAAGTCGATGGAGGTTCAGTTTTTGCATCTATTTCCATAAGGTAAATTTCAAGGACGAAATTTCTTCTAAGGGGAGAGTTGTCACACCCCAAATTAGGGCCTATTTTTTTTTAATTTTTTCGAAAACTAAATTAAAATTTTAATTTAATTCGGGGACCAAAATAAAATTTTAGCTAAATTTATACCTAAATCAAAAAGTAACCAAAGCCTAAGGATCTATAGTGTAATTTATACATTTTCCTTTTTGGTTGGGTTTAAAACCCCAAAATTCAACAGTTTTCATTTTTTGAAAACTCATTTTCTCTCTCTCTTTTAACCTTTCCTTTTCGGCCAATAAACTTTGATCGTCGTTGGACTTACACCGTCCTAAGTTTAATGGTGATCGCCTCGTTGTCGTCGTCGCTAGCGTGTGGAGGGCGAGTGAAGTAAATTCCCGACGTTATCGAATCAAACTCTTCACCATTCACCGATGTTGAAAAGTACCTTAAAATGCTTTAAAATAATTTTTAGGATTTTTTCATAAATTTTTAGAAACCGAAGGCCTCGTACGCGCCCCCACTACTCGTGGGGAAGTCCCTGCCTCAGTTTACATTTACAGTTCCTGCTAGGCTTTAGCCTTTACTTGAAGATCATTATAATAATTTCAGCAAATCCGAAACGAAGCTTTCGACCCCAAATCAGACATGAATATCAAAAAGCCCACACAATTTGTGCAAATCCATGACTTAGATAACCGCTACCCTTGGCCCACAAGCCCACATATCAAAGCCAGGTTTCGATCCTGGAACCTGTGGATTATGAGCCCACCACACTTCTGTTGCGCCACTCTGATGTGTTATCACGTTACTTCAACATTTGTAAATATTTCTTGAAGGAATGACATTCTCAACCTACAAAATATATCATCTTTATGAGTACAGTATAAGCATGAGGGATTGATTTTGGCATAACATTACACTTTTTTTGCATCAGAATATTTCACACAAGAAGAAAGTAACAGAAACCCAAAAGCATTGGAGTATATTTCAATATTTGCTTCCTTATAATGATAATCTGAATAAAATATAGTTGCAGATAGTTTGAAAAACTCAACAATGAAGGATAATAAAAATATTTAAAAATAAAATGTTAAATATCTACTTTAATAAAAAAAATACCTAAAACTAAAATCGATACCTAATTTTCGGTTAAACAAAAAGAAACTTTGACAACAAATTTGCACAGATAAAAGCTAGACACGTTATCAGGGGTGTTCAACCGGTTAATTCGGTCACCGATAAAATCAAATTAATTGACTTTTTTAACTATTAGCTAAATTATTTTTAAAAATTATTAACCTAATCGAACAAAGTTCGAATAATTCGGTCAGTTTTTGAATTAACTAGAATTTTTGTAATTTTTAATTGATACATTTTTTTCGTTTGGATTAAAATTAATAGGTCTAGTGTAATTAAAAAATAGTTTAATCGAATATAGTTTAATATATATATATATATATATATATATATATATATATATATATATATATATATATATATTAAATATTAAATATTAAGTAGTTTTATTTCATTTAATTAATTAATCTATTTTAAACTAAAGTAACATGAAATTTAAAAAAAAATATTAACCCTCGACGAATCTGATATCTAATTTTCCAAACGATTAACTGAATTAAAGTTATAATCACTTGGTTATTTCGGTTAAAACAAGTGCAGGGTACAAACAAAACATCCTTTCCCATCCATTTGGCCTCTGGCTTCTGAACCTCTCGTTCCTCATCTTCTTCCTTCCTCCAAAGTGATACCAGAAAAGAAAATTTCAAACATAAAATATTGTATTCCCCGTTCTAAGAAAGAGCTAATAATTCGAAAAATGAGTCTGAGCTTAGCTTCTTCAACATGGCTGTCACGCTTTTCCCCTCCAAACGCTAAATTACCCGACTATTCTCCCAACAGCAACTTCACTCTCCTGTCTCTCCTTTTGCGCTCCAATTCCCTTTCTTCTCTTAAAACCAACAAATCTTTCAAACCTAGAGCTTCCTTAAAACAAACCCAATCGAACGGTGTCGTGGAGGAAACCTCAGTTCTAGACGAGGCTTTACTGAGCAGAGTCTCGGCTTCTAAAGATGCCGAAGAAGCACTCCGGATGATCGACCAGAACCAGCGTGAAAGTAGTGATCAACTAAAAGGCGGCGTTGTGAGTGTTTCTGACTGTCGTTTGCTAATAAACGCTGCGCTTGATCGTAAGAATGCTGACTTGGCTTTGTCTGTTTTCTATGCCATGCGTTGCAGTTTCGACACAGGTTTCTTTTCTTTTCTGCTTAACCTTAAAACATGAAATATGGTATTTTTAATTTGTACTTATTCAAAGTTTTTGTTAGTCGGTGTAAGTGATAATGGCCATGGGCCATTGGTTGAAAGATGGAAATGGTCAAGACCCGATGTTGGGATTTACTCTACATTAGTTCAGGGCTTAGCAGCATTGTTAAGGATCTCTGATGCTTTTAGAATTATTGATGATATTTGCCGAGTTGGAGTTTCTCCAAGTGAGGAGGTATGGACTAAGTCCTTTCTTTGAACTTCATTATCCATGCAAAAAAATGTTCCTTTTGATCATTCTGATTGGTAAAACCTAATGGGTCTTTTTGTTTCTCTTATGAAAGGTACCTTTTGGGAAAGTTGTAAGATGCCCTATTTGTTCCATAGCGGTTGGTGTTGCACAACCACAACTTGGAATTCAGGTAAAAATACATTTTAGCCTCTTGTTGCTGGTACATCACCTATTCTTTATTTGCAACTCGTAGGATTTGAAGCTTCGTAAGAGTACTACCACGGCCACTACGTTAATATGCCAACTCCATGGTCATGGTCAGGTTGCCTCGAGAGGAAGAAAATATAACTGCATATTTGCTTGCTCAGTTGATTGCTAGTTCTTAAACTGTGCTCTTCTCTCTTTTTAATGTTTGCACTATTCATATTTCTGAAAGTTATTCTTCGTAATTTGTGCTTGTAAATGAACCTACTTTTCTCTGGAGTTTGTCTGAATTTTTTCTGTAAGTTCTGTTTCTGCACCTCTATGGAATTGCTTGCTCAAGTTCTTGAGGCTTGAGCTGCAATCTATGCATCGTTTACTCAAGATTTTGCTTTCTATATTTATACATTTCTGCAGATTGTATGTTGTGCCAAATGCCGCTACAAGTACGAGCTAGTTTCTGGCAACATAGTTAGTGTTGATTCAGAAGAAATCAGGTTGGTTTGTTTTTGTATATTTACTTTCTGGGATGTTTGACTTTTCCCAGCAGGAGTAAATTTGATTTTACCTAATTTGTGTTTTAAACATATGTTCCTCAATCGAGTTTTTATCTACCATGGCATTCTGCTTTAAGTTTCGTTTGTGTTATATCTCAGTCATTTAGTGCACTCTCAGAATACTTTAGAAAATGACTGTCATAACAATAGAGCAAAGGTCAAGCATTTTCAGTGGATACTTGTGATCTATGTGATTCAGACCCTTCAATTTTTATTTTTTTTGTAAGTGCTCATGTCCTGCAACTATGTCAACACATGTTCAAAATGAGTATGAAAATATGGTACTCTAAATATGTAGAAATACTTCTAAAAATGAGCATACTCTTGTTGGACGAGAAATTATTTGTTGGACACACTTTCTTTTTAATTTCTGAAACTTACATGGCACACACTGACACATAAATTGAACTGACAGACTAAAGAAACAAATTTTATTTTCTCCATTTTGGTTTTAGTGTTGATAACACACAATATTCATGTATGGTGTTGATGCTGGAATATTCACTGTTTCTAAGGAACTCCTCCTGCCGAACGCAGCATGGAGATTCCAGCATGGAAAAGGGGGCTAAAATCTCTGCAGATACTGAAGGAAAGAGTTCCTGCTGCTGTTCACTCTATTCTGGTATGCATTTACTACCTTGTTTAGTCATTCTGTTTTTCTGATTTGAAGATGATCTTTTGGATTCAAAACTTGGTTTTTGTATCATTAAGTGTGCTATTTCTTCTTATTATTTATTTCATCATTGATGAAAGGATTTTTTTTTCAGTCTTCTTATTAGGGAAAGCAAATTCACCCTCTTTATATGAATTATCACTTTCAGTGACTTTCTGCCAATTCTCAGTTTATGTACAATAACCCCGTCGGGCCTTCTTTGATTAGTTCCACCATCCGCATTTTAGGTGCAAACGCCTTCTGGTATGGCCCGTACACACAGGTTTGCTACTGAAACAGTTGATATTCCTGCACAAGAAGGAGAAAGGGTAACGATTGCTTGTGCTGCTCCTTCAAATGTTTATAGAGAGGTAGGGCCCTTCAAGTTTAGTCCTAAGGCACCTAACTTTTACCCTGGGGAACCGATGTGCTTGACAAACCACAAAGATGGCCGGGAATCACAATTACTACGAGCCCCTGCAAATGATGGAAACATGTCGATCCTTAAGCCTCAGTTTATCATTCCACTTCTCACTGTTCTGACTGCTGGAGATGTTGCCTCAGGGATAATAGACCCAAGCTTACCAAAATTGCTTTCTGTGGCTGCTGTAGGATCACTTGCTGTTGGAGCAACTTTAAATGCTGTGGTTTTCCCCCAATTAAATCAGGTAAGCCATGATCTTGGCTTGCTTTAGTTCTACCATTATGCGAAGAAACCCTTAAAACCCTGTTTTCATTGAGGTCCCAACCATTTTCAGGCCTATCACTTAAACCCTGTTTCATGATTTCACTTCAGTGATTTAGGTATCTGTTTTCAATGGAACCTGTTAAAACAATTGTTTATTTGGAGAAAATAAGTTTATGCTCATTTAGTGATTGATGGTGACAGCTTCCCCAGAGATCAGTGGAAACAACTGCCATCAAACAGCAACTGTTATCTCAGTATGATGTACTGCAGTCTCGCATCAGGGATCTAAAAGAAGCTGTCAAAGAAGATGTATGGTCTTGCAACTGGAAACTGTTCATAGTTGACAATTTTTCTAGTTATATCTATCACATGGGCTCCAGAGTGTTTGGAGTTTAACTTTGGCCCTAGGGTGTATTAAAATTCATAATCTCTCCCACCCTGGCAGTCTTAACACAATATCTCATCATCAACATCGAATTTTTGTTTCGAAAACTAGCGTTGCAGCTAATAACTTAATTAAGAATTAATCTGGGTCAATGTGAATGTGTTTTTCTTCGGGGTAAGCGACTTGAAATTAGCAATTGCAAAGATAGTCATGAAATTTGATCATCACAACGTTAAGCCTTATATGACATCCAATGTGAAGATTATGTACTCAGTTTACCTCTTGGTCTACATGTGTATGTGACTATTGATTCTCTTAAAATTGAATGGTGTTACATGATTTTTCTTTTCGACAGTTATCAACTTGGTATTGTATATTGCTAGTGAATGTAGCAGTGTTGAACTAAGTATGAGCTTGATTGGATTATCTGTTAATCTTCTTGATATTAGTTGAAAAAAACATATCGTTCCAAATATGTTAGATAAATAACACTTCTCAACCAATCATTGGTCAGTAGTGTTTTTCTAACTCTGTTCACCCTAGGGTGGCATGATGTTTTATTCTAGAAGCTTGTTCATGGTGTAGGTGTGGATGCTGGCTCGCATGTGTCAACTGGAGAACAAAATTTTTGCTGTAGGAGAACCTTCTTACCGGTGAAACACTTTACACATGCTGATTACTGTGTTCTTAATTAATGTTATGCCTTCTAATCTTAAGATTAAACATCTTTTCCGTCGGCCTTCTTTGTCTCTTCTCATGGCTCAAAGATTTTATGCTTTATTTTCAGTATGGTGGAACAATGTTTCCTTTGTTTTCTGTTTTCAGTGCCCGAAGAAGTAGAATCAAAAGGGTGCGAGAAGGTTTGGAGAATTCGCTCAGGGGAAGGATTGAACTCATTGATAGTTTTGCAAAAGTAACTCTTTTCTATTATCGAAACCTTGACAACTCTTCATTTATGTTTATTCTTTATGGATGGAATCAGATTGATACACGTGGTATTTTTACCCATCAGATCTCTTCAATGATTGAAATTGAGGTGGAAATGGACTCTGATGTCCTAGCTGCCGAAGCAGCAAGCAGTGCAGTGAGTACCAGTCTCTATATATCTTATATGGCATTTGGCAAGCTTATGTATTAATGTAATTAAGTGAATTTTCTAGGAAACGATTGCCGAGCAGATACAACAAATCATGGAGCTTGAGAATCTTGAAGAGGCATGCCCTTATCTCTCAACACGATTTTCCTTCTACTCTTTTCGGCATGCCATTCGACTTCTAATATGTCTTCTTACCTGTTTTTACAGAAATGGAAACTGCAAGCCGAAGCAAATGATGAGGCAGAGAGACTACTTAGTTCCCAATCCATACCGACCGAACAGATTTAGATATCTGGCTAGTAAATATGTGATTCAAGCAACACTCCCTTTACATTGTTAACCATCAATCTGGTGGATCATCATACACTTTCTCCCAAAAAGGTGGAGGAATATTCGAATGTCTGAAACTGATCCGAATACCCTTTGGACCATATTGCAATCCAATCGTGGATCAGGTGTGGGAAAGATGGTAACAACAAAACATCAGTATGTTGGCCTACTTGCCTGGTCATATAACCAAGAGCTACTCCAACAACTTGCTGGGTGACTTGGTTCAAACGTTACTGTTTATATGTTAGAATCCATTTTTCTCATGTAATGAATGAACTCATGGAATTCATGTTGGCACTTGTAAATTTTTGCTGCAAATTGTATGTAATAATATGAACGTGTTCTACAACAGGCATACAAGGCCAGCAGTCATAGATGATCATGATTTTTTAAACTTATGAATTATAGTCATCTAAATATTAATGTAAAATTCGATTTGATCGGTTTCTTTGCACATTCTTACTTGGTTTTTAATAGAAAAAAAAATCATTTTCGTTTGTAACAGCAAGCAAAGGAATATTTGGAATGAAATAATAAAATTGCATTTGTTAGTATTTGTTTGTTTGGGTGGATAAGGCCCTCCATCAAAAACAGCAGGAGAAGAAATTGATGAGTAAGCAAACGCTGCCATCTGTAAACTTGGAAATTGCAGGTTGGAGTTCCGGTTGTCCGCCGCCATATGGACGAATATGAAAAATAGAGGGAAAAACAAAAACCCACTTTATTCATAGAACTAACCCTCCTCCATTGTAGTCATCAATGCCCGAGCCTCTCATTGTCGTATCCTCTCAACTCACCTTCACTCCAAAATTTAAAGCCACAGCAAGCAAGCTTCTTCCATTTCAAAAACAAATCCAGTTCATCTGAATTTCAATAGAAAATGGACAATTTGATTTCCCTTGTCAACAAGATTCAAAGAGCTTGCACGGCTCTTGGCGACCACGGCGAAGCAAGCGCGTTGCCTACTCTTTGGGACTCTTTACCTTCAATCGCCGTCGTTGGCGGGCAGGTCGGTGCTCTCTTTTTTTTTTTCCCTTCGTCATCCACTTGTTCTAAACTGAAAATTTCGAATCTCAACAGAGTTCTGGGAAATCCTCGGTGCTGGAAAGCATCGTCGGCAAGGATTTTTTACCGCGTGGATCAGGTAAAACAATGAATGAATTGCACTTTTCAATCTTTCTTTCCGAAAAGTGAATTTTGTTTTACTGTGGATTAAAAATGAATGCAGGGATTGTTACTCGGCGACCTTTGGTGTTGCAGCTTCATAAGAGTGAAGAAGGAAGCAGAGAATATGCTGAGTTTCTTCACCTTGAAAGAAAAAGATTCACTGATTTTGGTAATTTGGTTGGCCATTAGGTTTCACGCTGATCGCCAATCAGCAGCACCTAAGTTTTGAAGTTTGTGTGTTATAGGTGCGGTTAGGAAGGAGATCCAAGATGAGACGGATAGAGAAACTGGTGAAACCAAACAAATCTCCAGTGTTCCAATTCATCTTACTATATATTCTCCCAGCGGTATAATCATTCTATAATTATTCTCTACATTGTTCCATTTTTTGTAAATTAACAAGCTCTTCTTCTTCTTCTTTGTTTCAGTTGTCAATTTGACTCTGGTTGACCTTCCCGGTCTTACCAAGGTTGCAGTAGGTAAGTTGAACCAATTGTAATCTTCAAATCCTTAATTAATCATAACACGATATGTGACTATATTTAATTTTTTTTTATTATTTTATATTAAAAATATTTTTTTGTTTTAATTAATTTAAAAAAGATAATTAAAACGGGTCTTCTTCGTCGTCGTCATCCACCTTTGCGTCTCTAGTCTGATCGGTCACCTTCTACGATAAAGAAGGGCAAATGCTTCTTTTCTTTATCCACTTTGGTTGCTTCAGTTTATTCATATTTGTCACAGTTCTCCATGAATATGCAAACTACTACTAACGTGAATCCTTAGCCACATCAAGAGCACCTCGCGAATGTCCACCAACAAACACGTGTCTATCACCTGTAAATCTCGTGGACATATTTTGCAAACGGTCGCCAACAATCTCGTGTTGTCGTACGCGATCTAATTTCATGACAAATCAGTCTATACTATCATTTTTTAAGACATTCAGTCAACATTAATATCACGATAACTCTCGATCAACACCAGTCCATAACTTTATAAAGAATCATGCAACACCGAACATGAGGAGACTAATTATTCCTCACTATCAAGAATAACCCCACAAAACCCCGATAATACCTATTAGAACTACTCTCTGACCATTCTATATAATTGTTGTCTACTTTACTAGTCAACAATCGTACATTTATTTAATAATTGATTTTATAAACGAACATTACAACAAAATCTTAACCCATTCCTTTGATTAAAAAAATTAAACACACGACAAAAAGAACATTTATTTTTCAAATAATCCTTATAATAACTATATCTGTAGTATTTTAACCCTCCTATTTTCCCTCTCTTCTCATTGCAATAGAATTAGCTGAGCTGTTGATTAATTAATTTGTATAATATTTAATGAAATTGATGGTTTTTGTTGTTAAATGCAGAGGGTCAGCCAGACAGCATTGTGCAAGACATTGAGAATATGGTTCGCTCGTATATTGAGAAGGTAAAATTATAACCATTAAAGAATTATAGTGCTGTAGTTCCATTTTTTTTTTGAATGGTATAAGATAATTATAAGATAACATATATTAAAAAAATTTGACCTATTGACAACATACACACCCTACAAATATAACCGCTTGAACTCAGCTCAAACTCGGATTTTCTATGAAAACCAACGTTGCCTTCTACCACTATAAGCTCGATTTACTTAAATACGGCTGACTAGCTCTCGTTATACCTTTTTACTTTTAAAGTGTTAATAAAAGTGGATGGTTGTTGCCGTAAATTGCTACCTCCCTTTTCCCACAATAACTTTGGAGTGTACAATTTTCATGTAAGCTGTGTAAATTGTGGTTTAAGAATGTAAGTTGAACAGCTTTGCACTATATTTGTTTGGTGAACTTGAATGCAGCCCAACACTATAATCTTAGCTATTTCACCTGCTAATCAAGATCTTGCTACGTCTGATGCAATCAAAATCTCACGTGAGGTGGACCCTTCAGGTAATCTTTTGCAAAGCTAGTTCATTCTATCTTCTAATAAATTTTTATCATCTCTACTTGTTCTTAAATGTGGTTCTAATAGTATCCTATGTGTCATACTCATTATTGGTATAAACCTTTCAGGGGAGAGGACAATTGGTGTCTTGACAAAGATTGATCTGATGGATAAGGGTACTGATGCAGTTGATGTAAGTTGATTTATGCATGATTAAGAATCATGCAAAAACACTTATCAAGTCTTTAGCTGTGAATACCTTGTGCTTTATCGATGTTCTGAGGCCTATTGCTGCTGACTTAGTTACTGGAAGGAAGATCTTACCTGCTGAAATTCCCTTGGATTGGTGTTGTGAACCGCTCACAAGCAGATATTAACAAGAATGTCGACATGATTGCGGCTAGGCGTAGAGAGCGTGAGTATTTCGCTAGTACACCAGAGTATAAGCACCTTGCTAACAGAATGGGTTCTGAGCATCTTGCTAAGATGCTCTCAAAGGTATACAGTATACTACTACTCCCATTCGTTCATGTCTTGTTTTTGGATAATTCAGTGCTACTTTTTCTTCTATTGTATTAACATAGATGTATTGGTTCATGTCTTAGCATTTGGAAAGTGTAATCAAGTCCAGAATCCCAGGCATTCAGTCCCTTATTAATAAAACAGTTGCTGAACTTGAAACTGAACTGAGCCACCTTGGAAAACCTATGGCGGCTGATGCTGGTGTATGTGTGCTCTTCCACTTTGTGTGGTGTTTGGCTTTATTGATTTTCCACTTTCAGTTGATTCTCAGTTACTTCTTCGAAAATTGCTAAAAGTTAAGGTGCATATACAGGGGAAGTTGTACACTATCATGGAGATCTGCCGTCTTTTCGATCAAAACTACAAAGAACATCTGAATGGCATGTATGTATAAACATGCCTTGTTCTTAGCATGTCTAACTCACCTGTATCCAGCTTCATTCGTTTTTTCCTGTTTTGACTTCCACCGTCGTTCACAGGCGTCCTGGTGGTGATAAGGTTTACAATTTCTTTGACAACCAACTTCCTGCTGCTCTGCAACGGTTGCAATTTGACAAACAACTGTCGTTGGAGAATATCAGGAAGCTCGTTACTGAAGCTGATGGATATCAGCCTCATCTAATAGCTCCCGAGCAAGGATATCGTCGTTTGATTGAATCGACTTTAATTACCATCAAAGGTCCAGCTGAGGCTTCTGTTGAAGCGGTAAGAAATAAATTTTCAGAGAAAAAATGGATACTACACTCAATTTGGCATGAAGAGATTATTCTGGAATGTCTTAAGAAGCAGTACAAAATCGTATCGTACTCATTTATCGACATTTTTCCAGGTTCATTCCATTCTGAAGGATCTGGTTCACAAGGCTATCAGTGAGACCACGGCATGTTCCTGTCTTTACTTATCTTCTTGTTCATGTATAAAAGAAAAATATGCCAGCTCGTCCTGGTATTTAGCAATTGTTGTGGTTTGGTTTCCAGGAGTTAAAGCAGTATCCTGCTCTAAGAACCGAGGTCAAGAATGCTGCAATGAAATCTCTTGAGAGAATGAGGGAACAAAGCAAAAAGGCAGCACTTCAACTGGTTGATATGGAATGTTGTTACCTTACAGTCGATTTCTTCCGAAGGCTACCTCAAGAAGTGGATAAGGTTGGCAACCATTCACAATCAATATTTGAAAGATACAATGAGGCATACCTGAGGAGAATTGGTAGGCGCACATACACAAACAAACATATGAAAAGAATGGAAAAAGTATGTTTCTTGACATACAATATGGTATTGCTGATGATCATGGATTTCTCTGACTATGTATGTGCAGGAACAACAGTTCTATCATATGTTAATGCGGTCTGCGCCGGCTTGCGCCACTCGATTCCAAAGTCCATTGTTTATTGTCAAGTCCGGGAAGCTAAAAGAAGCCTGCTTGACTTTTACTACACTGAGTTGGGTAAACTGGAGGTAAGAATTGTTGCTATTTAGTCATTTTGTTATTACAGATGAACAATGTGAATTCTTATATGGAGATCCCTTTCTTTTGGCTAGCAAAACCGATTATCGGCATTGTTGAACGAAGATCCAGCAATCATGGAACGGCGTAGCGCTCTTGCCAAGAGGCTGGAATTATACAGGAGTGCACAAGCAGAAATCGACATGGTTGCCTGGTCCAAGTAGAGACGGGTGAAAGCACCACCGGTTCATCTCATCTATAAGCAGAATCAGTCGGTATTACTATAAGAGCCAAGAGGGTTTACTTGGTTTGTTGTATTCAGGGATGGACCGAGGGTGACGGGTGGGAGCAGTCGCCCCTGAAAATTTAAAATTACTATATATTTTAAATTATTTTATGTATTTCCTATTGAAAATATATTTTGTTCCCTAGAATTTTAGTTCGTCACCCTGAAATTTTAATTCATCCCATTAACATAAAATCTTATGTACATCCCGGTTGTATTTGAAGGCGGTGGCTTAATCCTATTTCCGCAAGCAACGTAAGTTGTTTTCGCATGATACATTTTTTATAAATCTTAATGTGCAAAATAGCCTCATTAGTTGCTTTTATAAAGTTTATAAATCCTATCCCAAGCATCAGCTGAACATATTGAGGGATTGGCCCAACCTTGGCAAAAAGAGTTCCTAACCGATTCATGAAAACAAATTACTTTGAGCAAACTCAATCCAGACAATGCCCTATTTTGGTGCTTCTTATCTTTCAACTTTTCTGATGCAAAATCATCCCCCCCACCCACCCAAAAAAAAAATAGCATCCTAATCAACCTTGTACGGTTGATCTTGGTCTCTCAATTGACCATTTTTTTAAAATATCCACTGTTAAAGATATTTTAACATGATGCAATAAATTAGACTTGAAATTGGAATCGAAAGTCGAGCTCACTAGAACTCCGATTACCTCTGACCCAACAGCATAAATTTTAAAATGATCGAGCAAAGATGAAATCAAATCAACATGACTCACATCATAATCTCAAATAACCACATAATAAGCCATATCATCACTGAGTTGCTAGATAATAGTACAGTAACTCAAAAAATTAAATTTTAAAATTTAGTGGCCCAATTAGAATGTTGTAAAATATAGTTCTTAAAATAAAAATGGTAAGAAAGCTCAACGATTACATTTGTAGTTTACCCAAACATTTGTATCAGCCTCGCTTTGTTTTAAATTTGTTTCATCTCTTGTATTAAAGCCGAAATTTCAGTTAAACCAATAAGAAGATTACAACCGTAATAATATAAATAGTGGGTAGACTTTTCACCTTTCCTACGAAACACGACGTCGTACGATGCGAATATCGTACGGGATCTGTTGCTTTCTTCCCCATTACAGGAAGCGCAATAAAACCAGACAGCTCGCACGATTATAAACTTGTGTTAGATGACACAGACTTCATCATTTCTCCTTTCTCTTATATCTGTCTCGCCAACCAACACCAAAAAACACCTTCCATAACATTAAAAAAAACACACACACAGATCTGCGCCTTCCACCAAAAAGGTAAAAAATGTAATGTTGAAGCAGGAATTGTCTTCTTCTTCTTTGGTTTATTCTCGATGTTTGATTGTTTTCGTCATGTACTTTGATGGGTTTCATCTTTTTTAAGTGAATTTGTTAAAAAAACTACTTTGTTTCAGTGCCATGGCTAATTTTGAAAGGATGCAGTCTGTACGGATGTTGATAGATCTATATCAGTTTGTGATTTTGTATAATCAGTATAAATCAGGTACAGAGGGTACTTTAGATAGAGCTAATTGAATAATTATAGGGTTTGTTTGTTCTTTTTTTTTTTACAGTTTTGGAATGTTTGATAACTTTTTCCCTCTTCTGATTCGTTTTGAGAATATTTGCTATTTGGCAACAACTACAGCCATATCACTAGGCTACAAACTGTGAAAGACAAATTTGTAGCATTCTTTGGAAGTTGAGGCACAAGTCCATAGCATTTAATTAACAAATTGCCAATTAGAATATGAATTTTTGCACTTCTCAATAAATTTTTTGGTTGCCACTGGCTGCTTTTGCACCAATTGTTTCGGAAAATTTTGGTTCATGTACTGATACTTGATTCTGCACCGGACGAAGCCTGCTAAATTGTTCTGAGCCTTAATTAGGTGTTTAAAAATGGTTCCAAACCACCGGCTACTTGGTTTGTTGTGCTTTAAATTCTAAATGAATTTGGGAACATCGTTTGTTCTTATTGATGCTTTCTTGGCCTTGATAAATGCATCTCATTGAGCAAGTCCTTAGATTGCATGTTCCATTCATGTGTAATAATCACTGGCTATTGAATGCAGCTTAGCATTTCTAAATATCGGAAAGGAAAGAACTGCATATGCTGTGATGAGCTCTGAGAGCGAAGATTTTGGTCTTTCAGGCTCCTTGCACCTAAACAGTATAGATTGGTAAGATCTTCACCGTTACGCAGAAAACCCCTAGATGTTTAAGGTTTAAGAACTTCAATCTTGGCTGGAGGATGGCTGGATGCTGACTTATTTGATGAAAAATTTGTTGTATGTTACATGTATGCAGGACGGACTCAAATCATCGAAGGTCTGTAGCTGCTAGTTTGGTTCAGGGTGCCTATATTTTGGAGCGAGATCGCCAAGAAAAACGTCAAGGTTCTCAAGCACTGGCTCCTCCATGGTGGGAATTCTTCCATTTCAAGTTACTTCGTCAGCTTGTTGACGATGCTGGTTCCTGCATCTTTGGTTCCATTTATGAGTATACACCGCCATCATCTCATTGTAATGACACAATTGATCGAAGCCCCCGCTATGTGATTGCCTTTCGAGGTACCATAAATAAACCCGACTCCTTCTCGAGAGACTTTAGTTTGGATATTGACATCATACGAAATGGACTTCACCAAACTTCTCGCTTCGAGATTGCCATTACAGCTGTTCAAAATGTGGTTGCTATTGTGGGTGATTCAAATGTATGGTTGGCCGGCCATTCCCTCGGGGCAGCAATGGCAATGCTGGCGGGAAAGACCATGGCTAAAACGGGCAATTTCTTGGAAGCTTTCCTCTTCAATCCTCCATTCTTATCTGCCCCTATCGAGAGAATCAATGTTGGGAACGTGAAACATGGACTGCGGTTTGCAAGCAGTCTCATTACAGCAGGACTGGTTCTTGCCACAAAGGGAAAGAGTGAAACGAGTCGGTCTGAAGATCCATTTGCTATTTTGTCTGCCTGGACTCCATGTCTATTTGTGAACCCTGCAGACCACTTATGCTCTGAATACATTGGTTATTTTGAGCATAGGAAAAAGATGGAAGAGATTGGAGCCGGGGCCATCGAGAGATTAGCAACCCAGCATTCATTAAGAGATCTATTAATGAGTGTCGTGAGAAGGGGTGATGAAACAGCTGAACCACTGCATTTGATTCCTTCGGCATATTTGAATGTGAATCTTACCCCTTCACAAGATTTCAAGCAAGCCCATGGAATACAACAATGGTGGAGTCCAGATCTGCACCTGAAGTGCAATCTTTACAAGTATAAATAGATCACCCTTATCCAGGTTTTGCTTGTATATGAACACCATTAGACGAATCCTTTCCATTGATCTCTGTTTAATGTTGCTGTGACCTTGTGGGTTAAGTTAAACGGAGAAACATGTATTGTTTTCCATGTGACAGCAAACTGATGAGTTCCTGTTGATTTCCTTGTCAAAAGTATAGAATGTGATTCCTTATGCCATAATTTCTCATCTTTCAACTTCTTTTTGACCTTCTCTTGAAGAAGCTATAAAAGATTGGCAATATTCTTGAAGTTGAAAACGCTGCTATCATAAACAGGATAACTTTTTTTTAATCCAACAGAACCAACTTTTCACAAGCCTAAGAATCTGTCGTCGCTTTAAGACATGAAATTCAACTTTTGGCAGTTTACTAGATGCACTTGTACAAAAGGTCATGGTACTCTTAACAAATGATAGATACACAAAAGGTTAGTGATTCTACAAAAGGTGGATACACAAAGATAGCAATGTTTGGTGAGGATAATATTCCAATCATCAAGTATTACTGTCAAAGTTCATAAACTTAGGCATTTACTGGGAAGGATGCTAATGCAATAGAGCAGCATGCATAGACTTGCCTACTGAATACTCTGCATCAAGCACACACAGTTTCCTCACCTTAATATCTTCTACTTTCTAAGCATGGCTCGCTCGGAAATCCTCTTTGGAGTACCACTTTGAGAACTCCTTGGATCTTCAGCAATAGACTCATTGTTTGCAACTTCTTCATTGGGACTCGAACTTTCCTCAAATGCAAACCATGAGTCAGCCTGAAAACAAGTATACAGGAAAGAATGATATGGATATCAAGATTTCAGAATAAGAAGATCAATTCCCTGAGCTAAAGAGAAGTTAGAAAATCAACAAGGTAAGTAAACAAGGGCAAGGGCTTTTGTTGATATGCTAATGTATGAAATCCTTTTTCAAGGTTAAGGAAGCTTTAGAAAAGGGCAAAAACAGATTAGCAAGTAATCTTGTGCAATTATCTCGCTCATTAAATATGATCATAGCTCATGGTCAATCAAACACTTAACTGGGTGAATTTAACACAGAAGAGAGCTACCGAATCTCCTTCACAAATTAAGATCCTTACAATAATCATATTAAAAAGTTAAAAACTCGGGTCGCTTTCCTCGATGAAAAGTGAAAACCCATAAATTCGAGGCATTTTCCCCTTGGTATTGCAATTTTCACGATGAATTATGGATGAATATCTAAAGAAATATTATGAAAATAAAACAAACAGAAAGAAAGAAAAAAAACCAGGGGAAAAGAAAGCAGAGAGGAACAGGAAGACAATACAAGCTTCATAGTTTGTTCAAGGCCCAGCTTCTTCAGACGTAGTTCTCGGTTCTGGTCACGTAGTTGATTTACGGTATCATGGAGTTCTGAAACCATGTCGTTGAGCGTTTGATTTTCAACTTTTAAGCTCGCGTTTTCATTTCTCTGAGCCACCACCAAACCCTGCAATTCTCTTTCCGTGTTCTGCAATCTCTCAAACTCCAACTTCATTGATTGGAAAGATACCAATAAACAAACAAAAAAAAAACTAGATAATCAGTACGTTCTAGTACTTTAACTATAAGAACCAAAACAACTAAACGAAAACGAAACGTTGAGACAAATAGAATTGTGGATACGAACTTTACGTTCTCGGCGGAGTCGACGATCATGCTCTATCTTTGCTGATCTTTGAGCTGCAGTTAGCTGACGTCTGGCCACCATTTGATTCCTTGGCTTTAACTCCCTTCTGTTTGTTTTAGCTTTTGATCCTCTGCAATTTTATTTCCTTAAAACGAAGCGCGTTCTTTCGTCGTCATTTCGTTTATAAGGGTCTAATCATAAGCTCAGGCCCTTTACATTTTGGAATTTTGACATTTAGCTACAAGAATTTAATCCCTTTATATATTTGGTTTGAAAAATAAAGCTCAATTGATAATATTTTTAACTGAATGTTGTTAATTTTAAATATTTTATCAATTTAAATTTAATTTTTAAATAAAAAATTTAAATTTTATATTAAAAAATTAGATGTTCAATACTCAAAATCAATAAAATTAGTTAACAATGTTGTCAATTGAACTTTAATTTTCTCCGGGCATTATGTCAAAAAAAAAAAACACCTCTAACATTTGATTATATAGTTATTTTGGCCTCTATTTTTTTAGAACATTTTGACCCCTGATATTTTTTTTTTAACAAAAAAAGCTCCTACGTGGATAGAAATTGTTAGTAAATAAACTATTAAAGCTCCAAGATAGAGACCTTTTTACCACCTAAAGTGAAACATTGGGAGCTAAAATGCTCTAAAAAAGAATAAGGTTCATAGTGAATATTCAATCAAATGTTATGATCTTTTTATCCTAAGATAAAATGTTGGAGGCTAAAAATACTAAAAAAAGATGAAAGACCAAAATAATCATTTTGATAAAGCTTGAGGGACTAGTTTTTGCATTATGCCTTTTCTCTAATATTTTTTCTATTTTATAGACTATATTTGAGGTTTATAGTTGTCCCACTCAATAATGTCGTTTCTGATGATTGAATATGTATTTTCTCCCTGTGTCTTATTGTTTTTAGGGATGTTAATAGAACGGTTGTCCTATTTCGTATCTGATCCAATAGAGATAGATCCAAATTCCATAGGTGACCACTGACCAGGTTGTTTGCCTTGGAACTCGAACACGATAAAAGGAACCATGAGCATCCCAGACCCCAACACCAGGGATGAACTGTTTGTCTTCATTAATATACCCCCAAACACTTATAGGTAGGGTTTAAATTGTCGTTGTAGTTGTGTTTTTAAATACATTACATTTATCAATTTGTAGATATAATAAACATTATTTTAATTATTATAGGTACCATGATCAAACAATAACGATTATGATCCATTATTTAAATCCGTACTTATAAGAGAGAGAGAAATCAAACAAAGAAGAAGAAAAAAGTATAGAATAATATACTGAAGGACCCACATCATGAAACTCGAAGGTGGCCCATGGGATGTAAAGAAGAAAAAAAATCAAAACGGTTAAAGGATGTCCCCGGAGAAGACAGAAAAATCAAAAAGAAAAAAGAAAAGATGAATAGAAGATGGGATGAGTCCACCTTCGACGTTGTACATTGTAAAGTGATCTACCGAAACATACGGTTAATTAAATTGTTCTTATGAAGAAATTATTAAAATGATAAATTATATGTTTAATACATGCATTATCATTTTTATTTCGTTTTAATACCTAATTTTTTTTTCAAAACTATTAACGACAATGATATATGACATGACATATCATGTTTTTTTATTTTTTTTAAATTTTCACATCGCTTTCCTATTTCTATGTTAGAATTTATGGTGGCATTGTTACTGTAGACACTCATTTTCGTCCGTATAGTTTTTAAAATTTTTTTTTGAAAACATATATAATGTATAGTTTTTGAAAATGCATTTGAAAATATATATAATATATAGTTTTGAAATCATTTTGAAAATATATATAATATATAGTTTTTAAAAAACATTTTTGAAAAAATTATATAATATATAGTTTTAAAAACATATTTTTTCTTATATAATATTTTTAAATCATTTTTGAAAACTATATAATATATAGTTTTGGAAATTTTTAAGAATATCATATATAGTTTTAAAAAATATTTTTGAAATATATATATTATATAGTTTATATATTATATTATTATTAGTATGTTATTATTATTATTTTCATTTCATTTTATTCATTTAATTTAATTTAATTTAATTTAATTGTTTTTTTTTGGTCCAGATCCATTTTAAGTCCAACAAGTCTCAGTCCGGTTTGGAGACCCTGAACTAGCCCAAGGGAGCATTAGGGTTTCAACGAATGTATCCAAGCGCCGCACAAATCCAATAGCAAAAGGGGAAAAGGCACAAGTCAATCTGGACCGTTGGATCTGACCCAATCCAACGGCCGAGATCAAGTCAAGGGAAGAAGCATGAACGCCAACAGCCAATGGAGCCAATCATCGAAGCGACCGGCCGAGATCCCGGGACTGAACCATCCCAGGATTTCCGGCCCAACGACGACCTCAACGTGAGCAGATCGTCCCCGAGATTATCGGGACCAAACGGCCCTTTCAAGGGCTATAAAAAGACGGCCAACCAACCACGATCCCGAGATCGTCGGGACTCCCAACGGCCGGCGTAGGTTATAAAAACCCACGGCCAACCATCACAGAGGGGGGACGACCAAGAAACGAAACCAGACATAGAGATCATTGGCCAAAACAGAGCCAAACCACCATCACCGGGTATCAACCGTACCCAACTTCAACGTACAACAGATAAACCAAACCACACAAGTAAACCAAAACCATCGTCCGAGAACAGAAAGAACCCGAGAGATATCAACACAACAACATCAACCATATACAGTAAACAAAACCGAGAGACTACAAAAGCATCGAAACCACACACACAAAAACACCAACAACCAAACGCTACGATAAAACCAAGAGAACAAGCAAAACAACGAAACACAAAGACCAAACGGCGAGAACAAAAGCGGAAAGGTAAAAGGCGGAGACTTTTGGTTTAGATCTACGCATGTGGGGGCATTTTTTGGGTGTTTGAACTTCGGTTTTGGGTTGAGGACGTTGAGAGGGAGTTTTGCGGGTGTTTTTGTTTTTTCGGCCACCGTCGACGGTGGCCGACAGTGACGGCTAACGGTGGTTGACCGTGGAACGACGTCTTCCTGGTGGGGACTCTCTAGAGAGAGTCCAGAGAGATCTCTCTCTTAGAGAGAAAGTGCGAGGAAACAAATGAGGGGAAACGGGTGGAGGAAGGCCATATTTTGGCCTTAAATAGCGAAGTCAAAACGACGCAGTTTTGCCCCATATACACCCGTGTTTTTGAGACTTTAGGGGAAATGACGTTCTAGTCCCCGACCGTTTGTAACCTTTTATTTTAATCACTTCATTAAGTTCCAGTTTACTTCATTTTGAGCATGCATATTTCAATATTTATATTGTAGTCACTAACGTGAATTAATTTTTTTTATTTTATTAAATTTTATATTTTCTTTCAAAATTTAAATTTTTATTTATCATTATTTTTTCATGTTTTTATTTTATTTTTATTTTATTTTTATCATATTTTTTACTAGCTTCGTTTTTTATCTATGTTTTTTTCTTTTTCCTTTTTATTTAATATTTTCTCTTTTATTTCTATTTTTATTTATTCATCTCCATTTTTTTTGTTTACCTTTTTTAATATTTGTTTACTACTTGTTATCTAACATTTTTTACTTGTTTAGAAGAACTCCAATCTATCAAAGGTAAGTAATTTGAATCGAATATTTTAAATTTTAATTTAAATTTCAATTTTCGTAATTAAAGACAACCGGTGAATTAATTGGTACCGAAAGGGCAGTTCAAGGGTGCTAATCCTTCCTTGACCGTAACCGACTCCCGAACTCGATACGTTTCTGGTACAACGCAGATCAGGTAAGATGGTGTCCGACCCACCTAAATTCGTTTTAAAGTGGTCGGTGGCGACTCCAATCCACATTTTCAAGTCGAAGCCCAATTTCAGAGTCCAACCGAGAGACGGTTGCGACAGCTTGGCGACTCCGCTGGGGACAGGTAAGTGAGTCAGGCCAGAATTAATTTTCCGTTGTCTTTTTATGCGAAAATTGTAAATTTAAATTTTAATTTATCTATTCGATTCCAATTATTTACCTTTGATTATTTTGTTTCAAATAAATAGTTGTACTGATGTTTTTTAATGATTTCAGATTTTTTTCAAAATTGTCATCTCTAAGCTCTAAACCCGAGCTCCGAACCCTTTTAAGTGGGGGTGAAAGCGATGCATTCGTGTGAATTTATTCACCGCATATGCCTAGCAAGTAGCCTTCGGGATTCATATACCTTATGTCTTCGTGTGAATTTATTCACCGTGCGGGCATAAGGGAATGTGTCCCCTCGAGTTTAACTTAGTCCACACAAGCCTGTGATGGGTTTAGGACTAAGGGTCTGGTAAGCCCAAGGGGGCACCGGCAAGGAGAACTCGAGTACCGTTTTTAGAACCTAAACCGGGAGAGTACAGGGAAGTAGAGCCCACCCCAAAACCTCATTCCAAACCCTAGGATGCTTTGTTTCCTGCTTTATTTTATGTTCAAAGCATGCGAACTAGACAAATATGCGGTTAGGATTTGTTTAAAATTAGCATGCGGAATAGAAATCATGTCCGGGTAGGAATTAAAGCATGAGGGGTAGATATCATGTGGGGTAGGATTTTTCATTTTTTTTATTGTTTTGATTTACCTCACTAACCCTTTTATTTTTTGTTCTATTTTATTTTGTGTTCATCGTTTGCATCATTTAAAACGATGTGTTGATCCACCAAAAATGTGTTTGTTAAACATGAATAATCTGCATTAATGGACGAATGGGTTATAATACAAAGAGATAAAAAAACAAAAAAACTCAGAAGTCCAACCGTGGTCAAAGAATACTCAAAGGCAAAGTAACAGGGGGCAATACGAGGAAAAGGTCACTGACCCGGTCGATCCTTTCGAAAACTACAAGAACAAGATGGTAAAACACTAGCTGAGCTGGATGCCATTACTGACGAATTCAAGAGGCAAGCTTCGGATAATTTCTCTCGATGGAAGGCTCCAATGACACTTTCGTTAGAAACAAGCTCGGTAGAAAGTGAAAGTCGAAGATGCAGTCATTCGAGATCTTTTTTTTTTTGGGGCAAGCATCTCAT